GATGTCCCCCAAAGCCTCATAGATGGGGCTTTTGAGGAGGTGACTGGATCATACGGGCGTGATAATATACATTGATGAGTTTATGGGTAAGTAGGATATTGGGGGGTAAATCCTGGCTGGGTCACTGGGGCTGTGGCCTGGAAGGGTTTATCTCCCTACATCTTTCCTGGGTCCCTTCTTTCTGTCTGCTATGCCACGACTTGTTTCTTTTCTGCTATGCTCTGTGCCACACCCCTCGGCCATGGATCTAGCTGACTATGGACTGCAGACTCAATACACTGTGAGGCAAAATAAGCCTTTCCTCATTAGAGGTGTGCATGCTGGATATTGTCTCCTAGCAATGAGAAAAGTAACCAAAGTAGACAAAAATAAACAGCCTACAGCCTAAACTTCTTAATTCATGCTCTACCTTAAAGGGAAGACACAAACATTTCTCTGTTCACCAAATTCTCATTACTGTCATGTCAAGATTATGAAACAAGATGATACAGGGATATTATAGGTATATGCAAGGGAATTATTGGAATGAATGAATGCGGATACTAAGCAAAAATGAAGGACAAGAGAAGAGCAAGGACGTTCGATGTATCTATGATGCTGAAATAATGAAATGTGATCACCAAATCCAGTGAACTGGAAAGATTAGTACTACTGTAATTGATTACATCAGTTGTAATCTATCAACACTATATGCCACTGAATTGGAAGCCACATGAGTTAGTAATTAAAGTTATTGTGAAATGAGAGGAAATATTACTAGTGAAGTACTTAACAACAACATAAGGGGAGTTGGTCTTATATTTTGATGACTTAATATTCAAACGTGGTTAACACTACAAATATGAGAGGAAAAATAGCTTAAAAAGCTGAAGGAACAGATCAGTACCACTTACAATCTCAGTATGAAGTTTCTTCAAGGAAATTATAGCTGAGCATAAGGAAAATGAAAGAAAACAAGTACTTTCAGGTGAAAACATGGAAACTCGATTATTATTTTTCCTTTTTTGTTTGGTTGTTTGTTCGTTTGTTTTGAGACAGAGTTTCGCCATTTAGTTCAGGCTGGCTTTGAACCTACTGGCCTTGAACCTACTATGTATCTCAGGCTGGGCCCAAACTCATGGAGATCTTGCTCCCTCAGCTGCCCTAGTGCTGAGATTATAGGTATGTGCCACAATGCCTGTTTGGACACTCTATTATGAATAAAGACAAGTCTAAGGATCCAGAGAGTTTTATGGGTTATGAACCATAAATTTCAGGAGATATAAAGGAAGATGTTCAGATATTGTGAAACTGTGAATGAAACAGAGGAGAAAGTATGTAACACTGTGCAGAAATTAGACTACATAGAAATAAGTAGGACCTGGAGAAAAACAGGGACAGAGAGCACAGTTGACATTATTTGTTGTGGACTCAAGGTGTGTGATGGTGGTGAACCTGAAAATGTTCTGGAAGATGTAAGGGGTGGGAGCAGAAGTTTCCTCTTTTCTTACTGCCAAGAAAGACAAAGAGGGTTTGTAAAATGGTCTCAGATCCGGTGTGGGAAACCCCTTTGAACTACTGACTCATCAAAAGCAGTCTTCAGGAATGACTCACTGTCCGGTTATAGTGCACTTAGGCTCCAGAACTGCATCAGCTCCATTAATATATTATCAATATTGCCATTTCACTCTTTGTACTCATTTATGGTTCCAGGACTTGATTCCAGGAAGCAAATCTTCCATTCTTATTCTCACTGTGTACTCTTGCATCTCAAAATTCAGGGTGCAAATCTGTCCCATCATTTCTGCTCTGAAATGAGTAGGAAAAAAGTCACTCAATTTTACTTTCACTAGTTTTTACAGCTTGAAAAGACAAAGGCAACCACTTCCATATCCCTCACATGCTGGAGCTGAGTCCAAAATTTTCCAGTAAAATTTTTGGTACAAATATTCTGTTTCACAATGATAAATTTCATTTGGCTCTTTTTAAAATTACTTCTACTTCTCCGTTGATATTTTTGTTTTTTCCTTCATTCTGCCAGTATTTGCTTTACTCCATTGTGTACAGATAAAATAATTTCTTTCTCATTCTTCCATAAATCTCCAACATCCAAATGATGTTTGTCGATATTATCTCCTCAGCTTCTATGTTTTTGAGGTATTTTGGATTGTAATCTGGACACTGGGACATTAAGTTTTGCAGACTGTGATTTTAAGTAGGTGTGATTATCTTCTGAGTAATAAATCATTAAGGTAGAATTTAAAAATTACTTGTGGATGGCAGTTCAAATCTCAAGACTCACATCTCTTTGAGTCTTTCCTCAGCAGCAGAGTGTGTAAATGTGAGACCCAGGGTTTAGCCAGTCACCTTTAAATTTTTAATCAGAAAACTTGAGTCTCTCTTTGTGGATTCCCACCTTGTATTTCTGTTATTCCAAGCCCTTGCTCATCCGTCATCTGATACGCAAAGTCAGGATGATGGTGGATTCTTTTTTTTTGTTTTTTTTTTTCCGGTACTGGGAACCGAACTCACGACCTTGCGCTTGCCAGGCAGGTGCTTTGCCGCTGAGCTAAATCCCCAGCCCCAATGGTGGATTCTTCATCCGTGCTTCAGCCACTCAAAATTACACTGCTCTACACCACCTCCTCGTACCAGTTCCTCAACCCAAAGCCTTCAAAGTATTATAATTTAGCTTATGGTTTCCCCCACGTGTCAACTTTTTTGCTTTGTTCATTCTATGGAGATGTTAAGCAGGTTTTAAAAATTATTTTATTTTATGTTGTGTATTCAGTTCAGAGGTTTTAATAATTCTTAGAGGCTTTCAACTGCATGTCTACTTCATGATACTGAATGTGCTCTTTGACAAGAAACATTTACTTTATTTTCTTGATGACTTATTATTTAGTTTTTGTTCTTAATTTTCTGATGGATATTAGTGTTATTCATTTAGTTGAAAGAAGACTCTGAAATGTCTTATCTTTAAAGTCTTTCTGTATATGCACATATATACCTATATTCATTTTTCAAAATTTTCAGAAAGTAATATTGCATTCATGAATAGAAGGAGCAACTAAAGGATATATTCTCACCATTTGGGGATTCTAATGCCCTACACAGCTTTAATTTTTGTTCCAAAGCTATGCAAGTAGAAAACGCTATTCAGAAGTATACCAACAAATCCATACATTGGGTAACACATCAAAAAGAGCATATTAGTCATTTAACAAGTTTAAATGAAAAAAGAATACAAACATTAACATTACTTAAGTAAGCAGAGTTGCTGTTTCAACTGTAACTGACTAGCTTGTGTTGGCAATTTCATTGTGCCCCCATTGCTATGTTATACAGAACTTTAAGTTGGCATTTGGAAACATAGAAACACTTTCCCCAAACAAAAAACACAAGTTTTCTTTTTCTCTTATTTTAGTAAAGAATACAATATTTTCCTTCCTAACAAAAGTTATGTGTGCAACACAATACTGTTTATATGCAGAACACTGCACAGCAAATCACTATAATTTGTGCATCTTCCATGACAGATATTTTCTTCCCAGTGAAGAGTAGGTCTCCATTTCCCCCTTCCTGCAGTCCCTGGAAACCTCCATAGCACCCTCTGCTTCACTGAGTCTGACCACTCTGGATACCCTGTAAAAGTGGAATCAGGTAATACTGAGTTTGGGTGATTGCTTTATTTTACTTAAAATAATATCTTTGGGGTTCCTTCATGTTGTTTCATAAAACAAGATTTCCTTTCTTTATGTCTGAATACAATGCCATTATATACCTTTTCCAAATAATGTTACCAAATGGATTATATTGTTCATAATGTAAGGAAAGATTTTCATTCTAAAGAAATTTGTATGCACTAAAATTTTAATTTACAGTAGAATCAATTCTACAATGCTGGTAATAAAATAGCACCACTCTGATCTTCACACTTCAGCTTAGATATTTTTAATTCTGAGATACTTGTAGGAAATATTTTAACATCTATTTATACATGTTTATGAGTATATAGCATTTTGTAAATTCTTACAATGCATTGCTAATGTATTTTTTCAAACTTTTATTGCAGAAACATTGGGTTTCTCCTAGGATATGATTGGATACACTGTGCTTTCCTTATGAGGTACTTTTTAATGCACAGAATATAATTATGTTATTTTTCTGATGAAGCCATTTGTGAATTTTATGTGATTCAAGTACAGGCAAATTACATTGCTCTTTTCTCAAAAAATTTAAAGGTTTAATGAGAATTAAGCATATTCAAAGTGAATGAGCTCCTTATCTTTATGGTATCTCAATAAAAACAATATCTGTAAATTACTATACATAATTTCTTAAACAAATTCGTTTAATATTGTGTCAATTAATTCATAGGACTCCCTCAGCTTCTAACAGTTTCTGATGAAGATCATTTTCACAAAGTAAAGGACATCAGATTGTTTCTGTTGCCATCTATGCAAGCAGTGGGCTGAATCTGATAAAAGTTAGTAGTCCTATTTCTGTGAGCTCCTTGCAGCTTGTTCTCAGTATCAGATACTTATAGTGCTGACATTTCAAAAGCACAGATGGTGCAGAGGAAGTCCTCAGACGTCAGAAGAGGGCGGTTTTAAAATTTTTGTCACGGGTTTAGAGAGATACAATTTGAAAGAAAGAAAAACTTTTTTACTAAGCTCCTTGTTTGCAACTGAAAATTAGTTACCCCCAAAACACCTAAATCACAAAGATTTCACCTGAATTAGTTTCCCTAATTACACCAGATGTTTTCTGTGACTTGAGACAATATTGGTCTTTGCATCCTTTTGAGTAACAGTGAAAAAATTTCCTGTAGGAAAGTTCATACTTGCTTCTTTTATGGTTTAGATTTTGTAAGTCCCCCAAAAGCCTCAGAGTTCAGAGGTGAGATGGTCTGAAGGTCCATGGGCTACATGGGTTCTAACTTCTTTTGTGGATTATTCCACTGGTGAGATCATAACGTCTTTGCATTATTGCAAGGTAATGGAAAGTAAGTTCCTGTGGTCAAGGGGGCATGACTTGGGGTCCCTGTCTTGTACCTGACCCCTCCCTCTCTGGCTTCAGCCCCTTTGGCTTCCCAGCTACCATAATGTAAGCAGCTTTGCCCTAGCATACCCTTCCTCAGTGAACTTCTGCCTTACTTCAGCCCCACAGCAATAGCATAAACTTTCTAAGGACTGAAAACTTTACAACCATGAAACAAACTAAACTGTAGTTCTTATTAGGATATTTTCTCAAGTATCTTGTCAGAGTAATCAAAAGCCAGCAAAACAACTTCCGTTTACTGTTGCTGCTGTAGCTCCCTTTAAGGAGTTTCAAGTATAGTACTACTTGGTGCATGATGGCACTAAAATATTTATTAAATTTTAGTATAATTTCTGTGTTATAGATTTTTCTCACAGTTAAGAAATTTTAATCTCCAGCTGTGTCCTTTTATTTTTTTCCTCATTCTACTTCTTCCTTGCCTTTAGCCAGCTAATTTTTCTAGTTTGCTACTGTGGAATGTGAAGAGTGCAAATAATTGAGTGCTGAATGTTTAAATATATTATTATTTATTTGGTTTCAGAAAAAGTGACTTTTTATGTAGCATATATTAAGTTGAAAATACAAAAAACATAATACTAATTAAAATAGTCTTTTCATTTTGATCTGACTTTAAAAATCACCTAAAATCTACTTTATTATTAGATGATGAATAAATATTGAAATATTATTAGAAATAATAAAAAGCTTCTATATAATCTTGTAACATAATTATTTAATTGATATATGTATATTTAATTTTGTTTTCAAAAAAATTACACATATTTATATAATATTTATTCCCACATCAAGATTATTGTTACAAGTAAGTGGAGGTATCATTTGATTCTTTTAGGTCTGTAATCAGTTTTATGCAGCATTTTCTGTAGTTTTTATTTATTACAAAGTTTTGAAAAAAGTCTGCTTCATATGTATCTTTGAAAGAAGTGCATATTTTATGAATGCTAATACTACAATAGTAGCAAATTTATATTAATGCTAGGAGAAAACCTTACAAATTTCTGTAACAATTTTAAAATCAATGTATCATTTTCATTAGATAGTCATCTTAAAAACTTACAGCTTTTGTAATTAGTTAGCTATCCTGTTGCTGAGACAAAATACCAACACCTATAACTTAAACAGGAAAGGTTTATTTTGACAGTTACAGGGGATTCAGTACATAATCCCCTGGGTCAAAGTAAGAAACATTGCAGCAGAAGCACATGACAGCTCAAGGCTACTTAGTCCATGGCATCATGAAATCATAACATAGGAACACTGCCAGGGAGGAAAGGTCCAGGGACCATATATACTAGCCAAGGTCACATTTCTATGACTCCCCCCAGACATACCTCAAACTATGTTTTCCTAATTTACTAGGTATTTCTTAATTCAATCAAGTTGACACATCATGATTGTGTGACAGTTAACTGTGTCAATTTGAATTACAAACACCCAACTAAATTGGATCAGGATACCTCTGTGTATGGAAGACCCACCATAGGGAGGATTGCCTCCAGAATGATAAAATGGAAAATGTAGAAGAATAAACTGTTTCTTTGGAAGAGCTCTAGTCTCTACTTTCACCTTGGATATCAGCTTCTAGTTTCCAGCACAGACTTTTCAGCCTCTAGCACAGACTTCAGACTTCTATCACAGACACTTTGGCCACCAGATACAGACTCGCATGGCATCTACAGTAAGCTTTTGACGGGACACTTTGGATCTCCTGTGTAGAGAAAGACCTTTTGCATTTTTTATTCCTGACTCTGTGGGGGCCAATTGTAAACTCATCTTGCAAATTCTTATATATTTGTATATCTTGCATTAAATCTGTTTCAGTAAGGATTGACTGATACAAGGGTTAATGGTCACAATGTTAAATTGTTCTAGTGATTATTTCTGTATTAATAAATAATATTGATTGCATAAATACAAAAAATTAACTTAATTTTTACCTTTGAATTAACAATATCTTCAAAATAATAGCTATGTCATATCAACAATATCAAACATAAAATGAAGGCCATTTAGAATCAAAACAACTGTAAGAAATCCAACATTTCAGAGGTAATCAGACTTAACAGTTTGAGGGTTTTGCTTGAGATCTCACTCAATGCATGTCATTTTGTAATACAATTTGCATAGTTTTATTCATAATGAAAGTAAATTATAATTGTAAATGTGCAAATATATATTTATGTATATATGTTAAAATATGAATTTTTGATTTATTGTCTATATAATACTTCCGATAAAAGAGCTCTATTATTTTATATTAAATTAGTGTCCTACTTATAATTTTCTTTGCTCCCAAGCAAATTCATGTGTAAGCTTTAGAGTTCTTGAGTCTGAAATCGTTACAGAAAAAAATAGATAATAAATAATAGAATATAATGTGATCTCTAGGCTGTCCTTTTAAGGAAACATCAAACTATATGCTAAAAATTATATAATCTGATTTTGTAGTTGAAGAATAAAAACATCTTTACATTAGAAAAAATTGTCATCATATTTGCTATCATCAAAGTACATTAAATATGATGGATTACTTTGTGTCTTCCTTCCAGACTATATTGACAAGAGCTTTGTCTTAGTTACTTTTCTCTCATTGCTGAGACAAAATATCTGATGCCCAATATTAAGGAAGGAAAGAGGTCCCTTGACTGCATGAGGATTTGGGGGAACATGAAGACACAAACCATTGCAAACTTTCTTTATTAACATTTCATGCTTACAAATTAGCTCAGCATATTGAAACATATGTATTTTGCTGTTACAGACAAAATACCACTCAAGCTGAAAATACATAAAGTCATATGTTCAAATGAAATATTTAGGATAAGAGATAGTTTAAGGAACCTGTTTGGAGTAGCACTTGTGAAGAAATCTCAAGGAAACTTGTTCTCTCTTAGTTCAGAAAAGGTTAATATATTAACATGTAAAAGTACTAGAAAGGCCAACCAATGTAATTATCTTATGAGAATTTCTGGGAGCCCAGGTAATGGTCTAGAAAATATAGTAAAGTAATTGATTTTTTAGAAGGAACTAATGAATTGAGTGAAAGTTGTCAGCACAAATTTTAGAGACACGGTTGCAAACCAACGTAATAAATCAATTTTAATACAGTAATTGATAAGGTTGACAAGAACAATGTGCCATGTATAATATAAAAAAGTTGAACTTAAGCTATGTGCAACTTCAGTAGACAATGCGTGATGAGGATTGTTTAAAATGAACTACTACGGTGGAAGTTACAAGAAAGTTATTCTGAATTTAGAAAATAATGTCTTTCATTAAATTCATTTAAAATATTTATTCTTTAAATATTTCTAGATTTTTTTCTTATTTTATTAGCTTTAAAAAATTCTAAAATCCTTTTTTTGGATGTTGCAATATACTTACTAAAATTTTATCTTACCATTTAATATGTTTCATAAGTACATGTTGTTGAGTATCTCATTATTCAATTTGAAAGAAGATTTTTATTTTTAAACCCCATTTATATATTTGAAATCACGCTCATAATTGAATAGAACAAAAGTTTTGTTTCAGAGAAGGAGTAGATTTAAGGGAAGGAAGTGATGTGTAAATTGTAATTTCACTCCATTAAATTAAATTACATTCAGTCATATGTTTGTAAAACAAAGAAAAATACCTAAATAAAATGTTAGACAGTATAAATTTTTTATAACTGCATAACTACAGAAAAACATTAAGACAGTAACACTGAATTACAAGTTAACTAATGTCGTTCCAAATTTTGTAATCAAAATTGTTTCCACCAAATATCTTCCAAACTATTTATGAACCATATTTGTCCATAAATAATTTTCTTTTTTAATTTTTAATTTTAAAGAAAATAGTACAAAAAAGAACAATAACAAAATACAAACAAAACAAAGCAAGGAAATTGAAAAAGATACAAGGTTTCAAACCAAATGATAGGGATTAACAGGTTGGTATATTACATAGTGTTATCTTCAACGAAGTTGCATATAACAACCATTGGAGAATTTCTACAATCCTGTAACATTTGGTGAAAGTAATCTTAAGTCCTCCAGAAGAGAATATCTTTCATTCTGCATTCATATTTTTTCCTCACTGCTTCTTTAAAATAACTCCTACATGCCAAGCACTCTTTTTTGGGAAATGGATAATAGGAAATCTGAAGAAAGCAGTACCCTTGTGAAGCTTATATTCTAGCAGGAAGAGAAAACTCATAAATACATACAACCATGCAGTCCACAGGCATGTTTTGAACAATAAGTAATCAAATATATGATAATGCTTCTTTTTTTTTTTTTTTGAGACAGGGTCTCACTATGCAGTTCAGGCTGGCCTTTAGCTCACTTTGTAGCCCAGACTGGCCTCAAACTTGCAATGATCCTCCTGTCTCAACCTCCCGAGTGCTGGGATAACAGCCGTGTACTAACACGCCTGGCAAAATATGTAATGGTGGTCCCATGAAATTATCACAGAGCTGAAAAGTACCTGTAGATGTGTGACAACATACCTCTCAAAATACCATAATGCAGTGAGTTACTCAAGTGTATTTCATGATGCAGATATAAACAAACCTATTCTACTAGCATTTATATGAAAGCATAGCACAGTTATGTATAACATAATTCTTAATAGTGATGTTAAACCACTATGTTGCTGGTTTCTTTTTGTTATGTTGCTATTTTATCATTATTTTAAACTGTACTCCTTCTTTTCATAAAATGAGTTTACTATGTCACCGTATTCCATGTTAGGCAGGCAGTAAACTCATATATATGATGTTTATGCATTGATTGACTACATCATTTTCTTTTGTACTTGATTTAATTTCTTGTTCATCATGGTCCTTAGAGAAATTGGCTATGCTAATATAGATACCACAGAACCTGGTTTAGTAGATGTTTATAAAATCTAGGTTTATTTGTTTTGATGATTTTCACTACGTTTTGAAATTTCCCAACAATGCGTTTCTCAAAATCTATCCCCTTAAGTGATGTACAATTGTAAAGAAACATACAAAATAATTTTGCAAAGTAATATGAAAAGATAGAAAATAAAACTGATATATGACAAAGCTATTTTAGAATAGTTTGGAGAGGTATTTACATATGAGCATAGCCTAAATGAAATAGCAAGCAGGTCATGAAGATTTTTTTTTAAATTTAAACTTGTGGTCTGTTTTTAGGAGGAAGGTATAAACCTCAGCCCTACTCTTCTGTGGTTTGAATGATTTATTCTTGGTTGTTTACAGATATTTTTTTTTTCATGGGGTATTTCTATGTCCTTGCAAATAATCAAAGTATAAAGCACCTGAATTGACCAGGTACTCCTCTGAAAAATTAAGGATAGACAGCCATCTGTTTTTTTTTTGACATGGCAGATTCTCCTCTCCAATATGTCTCATATTGGAAAAGTCCTGAGAGTGATCTAAGTTAGGCCTAGTTGCACTTGTCAGATGACAGCACAAAGGGGACAGTTCAGCAAACTACACGAAGTGACAGAAGCAGTAGGCTTCAGTTCCAGAGAGAACAAGACAAGACTTGCAGTAGAGCTGAAAGTAAAGAAGAAACCTTCTTGACCAAGGTTCTTTACCGGTGGATGGGGAAGGAACCTGTGGACCAAAGCCTTGATTAGGATCCAAGGAGATACCCAAGCTCGTTTCCTGTGAGCAGTGATAGTTGGTGAGTTTAGAGTAGGGAGGTATGAGCTCAATGGAGTCATAATGTGACCAGAACATGGTCACTATGACTTGTTAGAGTTGTACGGGTTCTGTGTGGGTGTCGGTGGAATGAGTCAGGTTATGTCTGGCTACCTTGTAGGGAGGTGATTACTAGGAGGTAGTTTAAGTAGATGTCTGTTTTTTGTTTTTTGTTTTTTGTTTTTTTTTTTTTGGTTTTTTTCCGGTACCGAGAATTGAACTCATGACCTTGCGCTTGCCAGACAGGCACTGTGCCACTGAGCTAAATCCCCAGCCCCTAAGTAGATGTCTGAATCAAGCACACTGAAGAACTGTGAGGAGATGAAGAAAGTGTGTGAAGAATTTGAAACTGCTTCCAGTATAGGAAAGTCCATCGTCTATTCAGAATGAATGCCTCAGCAAAATGAAATGCAAGTTCACTATAGAGAACATTCTTCGCCTGGAGAACAAAAAGAAAAACAACTTGTATAATTCAATTTTAATTAATGGAGAAGAGCAACAACATAAATCTTCCTTAAATAGAGTGAACTGAGTGTGACAGAGAAAATCCCTAGGCTAATGAAGGCTTTTGATGTTTTAGGTAGTACTTTGTTTTGTTTCTTTCTTCTTGTTCATAGATGAGGGCAAAGCTTGGAGTACTTATGGTGTGATAAAAAGATTGGCATACTGATGACGATAGATTTGTGTCCTTAGAAATACCGCTCTAATATTAATACTAATTTGGATAAAGTAGACTACAGTTTTCAAAGCAAACTGATGGAGACCATTTAGAATATTATTACCATTGTTCAGGTGAAATATTGTCACACATATTTTAAAGGAAAATTGTGGAATACATAATAATTATCAGACATATGCAAGGGAACAACCAAGGGCAAAAGTAACAACAAAATATTATTCACTCAGTGGTGTTAAGTGAAATTTATTAAAAACAGTAACACTTCACAAGGGACAGGTGAGGTAAAGAATCAAGAAATATTTATTTATATAATATATAACATTTAATTTATTACAAAATATCTCATGTTTCTATATATTTTATACTAAAAGTGAGGTTTATTTATAATTTAACTCTTTTAACCTAAAATATGATGAGTTAATGTCATGTGCAGTGTATTGTAATTCTTCAACATTATATATTGAAGTTTAATAAACTGTAAGTTCTCAGAGAATCCACTTTTATATTTCTTTGGGTATGCAATAGTGCTTGTGCTCTAACCAAACCTACAAACGTCAATCAATCTCCACTAGAAAAATGATTAAAATTTGTTGTAAGCCTACGAAGAGAATCTTAATTAGAGTTTGGGATTTACGAAATAAATATGTTCTTAAATTATCTAAGTGCAAATATTAAATTAGATTTAAGGAATTTGAAAGCTTCAATCACATTTGAAATTCTTTTTGCACCATTATTGAAAATTGCCTATGAAGTTTTATTTAAATCTTATTTTTATTTTACTGATTTTCAGGAGCTGGGGACTCAAAACCATGATTTCTTTTATGCTAGGCAAGTGCTATACCCCTGGGCTGCTCACTCAATCTGAAAGACTTATTTTAATAAATTCCTAATACTGTGTTATAAATTTAATAAGCTGATCTATTGGGTACAGTACTAAAATAATTAACTATATAATTTTGTAGCATTTAGTCCATGCACAATATAATTGATTCAGATACTGTAGAGGAAGTGAATTTTGATACATTCACTTAAGTGCATTTATCATTCGTTTATGCTCACTTTTGTTTATCCTGTCATATATGTTAATAAATTAATCTTCATATCTGAAAATACATGTTTAGGCAGTTTAACTTTTAGTTTGACTTTCTTCAGTATTTTCTGTGCTGTTTATTTTTCTAACATAGTTAGAAAAGCACTTATTTTCCTTATATGGTTTCTAGTATTTGCTATTACCATACTCAATAATTCTAACCAGGTGTATTTTCCATGATAAACCCTGCAACATTTCTTAACAATAACTGGTGGAGCATAGCAAGAAAAGCACTTGTAGGAGAATGCTAAGTTTCTGGCATGAACTACAGAGTGAGGATTTTCTTTCTGTGACTTCTTCCATGGGTTGCAAGTATGGATATAATAGTTCAATTTATTTGAATGAGAACAGACTTAAAGTTCAATGTAGTCCTTTTATCCTGGTGAAATAAGTTACTCCTCCAATCTGTTTCACCTATTAAATGCTAACCTTTTTCAATTTTTCAAGCAAAAGTAATGACTCATAAGATGCCAAAAATATTTGTTCAATTCTTGTTAATAGTGGTGGATTAAACTCAATATGAAAGTGTTAACGACTATTATAAGAATTTGCTTTACAGAAGAATTAGAGAATTAAAAGAAGAAATACCTCAGACTCAGAATAAATATCATTTACAGGACTATTTTCTAACAGAATATGCATTGTGTTATCCTTTATTTCAGTTTTATATGGTAAAGTGGGAATCTGTGCTATGGAATCAGTACACTGCCACATAATTTCAGTAAAGGCATAATATATTCAAATACATAAGCAGCTAAGGTGTATTCTATATAGATAATGACAAAAGTTATTTCTAATACTTACTGTTCAATAAAGCAAGTTATTTCTCTTTTGACTCACATATTCTATTAATATTAAAAATTTTAATAATCTCAAAGATGAATATCTATGTTCAAGAAAATACTATAAACAAACTACAGGTTTAAAATGGTGAATATTGTTAATTTAGATATTGACTAGGAACTATAGAGGGTTACATTTCCCTTAACTTCAGTGATTTTATGAGAAATTGAGGGAGCTACTGTAGGAAACAATAAATTAGTTAAAAAAATATGTTATTTTGTGAGTAATGTGACTTAAGTTTCTTCAACATTTAGACTCAGCAAAATGTGATTTTGACATACATTGGAGAAACAACATTTAAAAATTTTAGATGACTATAAAACACTCAATTGTATTAATATGTGTGTTAATGTCTTCATTTATTTTTTCTATATTTTCTTTTAGACAAGGTCTCACGATGTAATTAGAGTTGGCCTTGAACTCATGAGCCCAGGCTGGCCCCAAACTCATGGTGCTTCTCCTACCTCAGCTCTCCAAGTTCTTGCACTATCGTGCCTGGCTCTCAAGGTATGCTTAACATATATCTGACTTCAGGAAATATTATTCCTTGAATATATGAGGAATGAATATAAGAAACTGATAGCACATTACTGCTTTTTACATTAAAAACAAAATTTGAACAATTTACATAGTAATTCATTTCCCATCATGCTCAATATGCACAAACTAACATCAGAATGAATTTTGATTTCTTTAGATAAATTCTTCATAAAATCTTGAAATTCTTAAAAATATTTATGAGGAGTTCATATTTTCTTATAGTGGTAAGTGAAATTGTTTGTACCAAAACTTAACAAAAATGCATAAAATAGCCTCTGTCTGAAATGATTAAAAATCTGGACAGAAAATGAGAGGCTCCCTAACCAGTTTAATATAAAATCTCTAATGAGCAATGGAAAGTAAACAGCTGCTCACTAAAGTGCTTTTCCTTTTGTGTTTTAGTCATACTGTCTGCTCTCCATTGGTTCTCTGACTGAGGCAGACCAAAAGGACAGTGGTTACAACAAAGTAATGCCAATTTCCCTGCCTTTAGCTGAGCTCCCAGAAACTAAATCATTCAAGTAAAAGTGAAGAGTGTGGAGAAGTGTAGAGAGAGTTTAATTGGCACAAAATGGAGAAGAAAGAAAAGTGAAATTAAAGAGGGAGAATTAAGAGCACAAAAATACAGTGGTGAAAGAGGAGGAGAAAAGTTTGGATGATGTAATAAAACACTGGGAAACCCGCGGTCACAGACTTGACCTTCTAGTGCATATGGGTTCCAAGTACACACAGTCTCAGTGAGTCAGGAATGTTTTATGTCTTTAATTTACTTTGAGGCAGTCTAAAATCTATGGTGGCAGAAAAAAGATTACACTCTCTTTAGAGAGATGGGACAACTTCTCTTCATCTCAGAGATCGTTAATTACTTTTTAAGAAAAATGGCCAATAAACTAAAATATTGCAAAGCCCATAGGGTATAAGCAAGGTATACCTAAGCAAAAATCAACAGAAACTATATTTATTAAACATGCATAGTCTACAGATATATTTATTATATGATCAGATATTATATTTAGTATATGATGTAATGTTTAGAATAACCTATTAGAGAAATTTTTTAAAATATTGGAACTCATGGAGAGTAACAAAGCAGATTTTCAAAATAACCAGAAAAACAATTATAAACTTGCGCTTTCTTCCATGTCAGAAAAGTGGTACTATTTTACTGCATTTTTTAATAGGAAGGAAATTGGAAATACATAAAAGTGTCTTAGTGGTTGGAAAACAAGTGTCACAGGACTGTGATATTTGATTGAATGAAAACAAGCAAAGTAATCCGTAATCCTGCATCAACCATCTTCTAAGGAAAGTTTCCAAAGTATAAAAATGGATAACTCCAATAGCACAGAGGCTATTGGGAGATAAAGAAGTGGAAATCATAATTCTTGGTAGCTAAAGTAACTAAGATTTTCAGGAGAAAACACTACAAAAGGGAGAGATACATTAAAAAAATATCTACAGGAACATCAACTAATGGATGCTACTTTATCCACCTCGGTGGTGACAACAGAAGACAAGAACAAATTGGAGAGGCTACTTGACCCTGTAAGAGTAGTGATCTACTTCAACATGATGTATGTTCAGTAGCGCCACCTAAAGGGTCAGGACTCAACAATAGCTCTTAAATGACTTTCAAGAATAGTTTAAACATATCCCAAAAAAGTTAAAAACAGCTTCAAAATTTTCAAGTCTTCTCCTCAAGTAACTTAATTCCCTCATAGTATGGTACTCATGGAAGTAAACCAAATACAGTCGTACCTCAGTTTGCGACTTAATTTGTTTTACGATTTAGGGAAAGATGGCTCAGTTTATGTTTGTCTCGGGAAGATGGCCATGGTCATTTTTGTCAAGTAATGCAGAGTTTATGAACAGAAGCAAAATTTTGCTGCACGATTTTCTTTGCAAACCCATCTGTTTGCAAACAGAAGCATTTGTGAACCAGAACATTATGGTACAGGTATGAAACTGTATAAAATGAAACAGTCAGTGCTCACTAAAACACTACTAGATATTAGAAGAAATTTTATTATATTTTACAGTATACTGGTGATTTGTTCCATTTTTCTATGCCAGAGAACTTATTTTGCTAACATTTTGTTAATGCTTTTGCGCTTAAGTTTTAAAACTTATTAGTCTATAATTCTCTTTCTTTAAAAACGATAAAGCAGCTTATACACTAAAATATTTTTGCAAAGGTACCTTTTCTACTAGAAATGGCAATAATCTAAATTAACTTTTTCCTTTTGACTTAGACTTTTAGTGCAATTTTCTATAACATAACCACATGCATGCACAGTTTGGTAAACAGTGATATATATTTCTGTCAGACACATAGCACTATGTTTATTGTGCACTTGTAAATGATATCTGATTATGAATGGTAAAAGCAATGAAAAAAAAATATTTCATAAACACTCTGTGCAACCACTGAAGGTTGGACGTCCCCGGAGCATGCTCCAAATTGACAGAATAGTTCGCAAATGCACCGTTTTAGGGCACGATGTCAAAAAGAAGAATACAGTATATCATGCACTAGTTCTAAAGCGTCTGCTCACATATTCTGAAATAGTGTGGAATAATTTTATTTTTTAAATAGGAGATGTTCCATATTAACTCATGCTGAGAACTGGTTGAATACTATAGTAAGAAAAGTACAGACAGGGCTTCGCAGTTAAGTCACTAGCTGTGGGAAACTAGTCATAAGGATCAAGGCCCAATATACCTTCCTTGTGGACATAAAAGGGGGAACAGCAAGCTGTTTCCCCTTTGGCAATGTACCAGCTGCTGGCACGTCGCAAGTTCCAGGGAAGAAGCCAACAACAGCTGAGATCTTATTTAGAGAAATACTTACCTGGGTACACTTGCCAAATAATGAGAAACAGATGAATTTTCTATTTACCTAGCTGCTTGTTGCTGTGCCTCAGTTGAATAAAAGCAAGGTGAGCCAGATGCTCAGAGTTCATTGTCCACTAGAAGCAAGAACCCCCTGGCCCTTCTTTGAAAATTATCTCTGTGTCTTGTCTTTAATCTCTGTTCATCCCCCCGATTAGGCATTCCTAGCAGGCTGGGTGTCTGCTACTAGTAGTCTCATAAGAGTTTCAACAGAATGCTTGAAGTAGGATTTAGATTTGTCATGAGGTAAGATAGCAACTGGGGTTATAAGTGAAGGGAAAATCAAGGAAGGAGATGACAATGGTGTGTGTATGTTTGCGTGTGTGGTTCTTCAGTCTTTCTTTCACTGGAGCATATGATGGATAAGATGATGCTTTTAGTGTCAAAAGAGGCATAAGCAGGTGATAATCCTTTGGCCAGAAAAATATTGAGCACTTCCCATGCTGAAACAAAAATTACCATCACTTAGTTTCCTCGGTGCTCACATTTTAAGCTTGTTTCTGTGGTCCTTACAAGGATATCTCGACTTCTTCCTGGTATACTGCTCTTCTCATTCTGTATGTAGTCAAACTGATACATAGTCAACTAGCATACACATGCTAAGGCATAAACACCTATTTCTAGCCAAGATCACACTTTAAAATTCAAAATTTATATCCAAAGATTTTCTGAATCACACAAATTATGTAAAGCTACTCAGACTTACATTAAATAATATGTATCTTTTCCGTTCAACCAATTTTTTCTGATATTTTTGATGATTAGTATAAATATCTGATTTTTGCCCTATAGATTTAGTATCTTACATCTTTTGTATGAGAAGGCAAGTCCTTTTATGATTTTGTCTAATTATTTATAAATCCAGTTTTCTTCTCAATAACATCCTTTGTCATTATTGAAAGTTGGTTATCTCTTATTTACCTCTTCTCTGAATAACTATTCTTTGAACTTTCCCTTGAATTCAGATTATCCCCCTACTCGCAACTTGTCTTCTAGACATTTCTTTAAAAATGCAGTTTTTACATGGCATTTGGACTTACATTTTTTTAAAAAAAATTTTTTTTCGTCTTTTTCCAGTACAAAAGAAAAGCCAGATATTTTCCTTGCCTAGCAAACCATGATATTTTGTGTTCAGCTCACAAGTGTCTTAGTTACTTTTCTCACTGCTGAGAAAAAAATACCCAGCACCCAAAAGGAGAAAAGATTTATTTCAGCTAAAAGTTTGTAGATGTTCCAGCACACAGATGGTTGACTCCAACGCAGGGTGACATGGCAGAGGGGAACCATAGAGGAGAAACAGTCCATGGTGTGGCCAGGCAAGCAGCAAGCAGCAAGCAGCAAGCAGCAAGCAGCAAGCAGAAGCACAAATGGTAATGCCAACACCAGAAGCAACAGCAGCCTGCCATCTTCCTTTCTCTTTTATATTCCATCACGTATGCAAGTTGTTTGAGTGGTGCAACTCATAATCAGGGTAGGGCTACTCAGCATCACACTTTAAACCCAGCATCGAGCCCATAATCCACATTCACACATTCTAATCCAGCCACTTTCAAAACTCTCCAACAATGAGCATATGAGATTTTGGGGAGACATCTAGATAGATACAAGCGATGACATCGGGTTTATAGACTCTCTCCTTGGAAGCAGCATTGCCTCAGAGAATAGACAAGGGTCATTTCTAGGTGTACCAAAATTAAAAATTGTCTTGAAATGTTAATGTCTAGTTACAAAATATCTCAGAATTTAAAAAAATTGTGTCCATTTATCTCAGAACAAATCTGTATGAAATTTAAGTAATTTATTTAAAAATCTAAATAGTACAATTTATACTAAGCTTTTAATAAATGCAGTTAGGTTCTGATGGCTAAAATATGTTTGTATTTTTTCCACATTAGGAAAATTTTGGATCACTCTGGAGATAATACTTATAATCTCCCTGTGTCTTTGTTCATGCTATCTTTTCTTCCTAGTTTATATTTAATTTTTGTGTGTTTGATGGGAATGTGAGGGTGTTAGCAATCTGCATTTTTGCTCAAAGAAAGATTCATAGTAATATCTTTTCTAAAAATTTTCCC